TTAAGCCCAGCATGCATTAGCTAAATCGGCTAATGCTCTCCTTAGCCCCGACCCCCACGACAGGCCCCAGTGTATGTTGTTCCCCTCCCTGTGTACACATAGAACATAATTTTTTACCACGGCCATTTGAAGTGAATAGCAAAGCCTGTCTCTTCTTATAAGGGACAGGATCCAGAGGTACAAAACATAGAAAGACCCCCGTCCTTCCTTCAGACTCAACATTCAGCTGACATTTACCGAACACCCAATATGTGCCATGCATGTTGCTAAGTGCCTTACATTTGTCATTTGGTTTAATTCATTCCTTCCCACAACCCTGTAAGGTATTATTCCTTTTGCAGGAGATCAACTCTCAATGAAATTCTAGCCCAAGGTCACACAGCTGGTGTGACAGAATAGAATCCACCCTCCATTCTCATTCTGGAGTAACAACGAGATGTTCTTTGGCAGAGGGCTCAGACCAAATCAAGACTACGCGATATAGCCACTATGTCCTTCTGCTGCTGGGATCCCTTGGAATAAAATCAAGAAAAGACTAAAGGTGGGCTTAATTTCACTACCCAGTCTAAGCTTTTTTGCCCTTTTATTTCCTAAGCTCTGTCAAAACTCCAGATTTTCAGCTCAAAAGCAGTCGCCCCTCATTACAGAATTTCCACCTAATGATGCGTATTCTTTCTGTGGAGGGAAGGTTACTAGACGCTCATCTTACTTAGTTAGAAGAAAGGAGGCAATTGCAAACCACTGGACTTACTTGTGGGCCTCCAGCCCTCACTGGGATCACAGTCAGCCATAAGGGCAGCGCCTAGGCTTTGCCTATATGGGGTGGACATATTAGGATCAAGAGGGGATCTGTCTGTCTGGTTCGCAAAAGCATATTTAACATTGTAATCGCATACTTTTTAAAAAATTAAAGTGATGCTTAAGAAAATACAAGAGGTAATCTCTTTGGCAGGTGTGTCAAGCACGAAGGCTGAGAGGTAACCCTCTGGGGTGGCTGTGCTGCTGCCACCTGTTGAACAAGAAGGCCATAGCTGGGGAGCAGAGCTGAGTCTAGAACCCAGGTCTCCAGGGCTGCAGGCCCTGGGAGCAGCACAGTGCGGTAAAGAGCACACACCCTGTGCTCAGACTCGAGCGCAGAAAGCTCGATGCTGTGTGCTTTTTGATAACCTGGCCCCACAGGAACCTCCCCTGGTGTCAGCTGCTGGAGAGACAAAGGGGGCTGGGAGTCCCCGCAAAACAGGCTGGACTGGATAGGGGTGAGGTTTACAGGTATCACTGACACTTCCCAGTTCCTGGGCCGGCTTTGGCCTAGAGTCTCTCTCTGTACGCTTCTTTGGAGAGCGGAGTTCGTTGGTGGATTCAGGGCAGAAGCCCAGCTGTGATTCTTGGGAGGCCACAGGGGCCCTGTCTGCCAGCTGCCTGTGTCCTCCCTCTAAGTGCTGCCGTGGTGGGAGGCTGGGAATTGGCTATAGGAAGCATCCAGGAGGTGTTGCTGCTCTTGGCGCCTGAATTCCAGGAGCTTGAAGGAGCAAACGACTGTTTCACTCCTTGTGCCTCATTTCCAGCCTCAGACATAACCTTGGTTCTATCGAAAGATGCAGGTGGGAAGTGACTAGGGGCTAACATACATCTAGGTTGGAAGTTGTTTTAACAACCAGCTGGGGCACCAGATTCCTCCTAGCTCTGATCACCATCACCTGCCAGGCCTCATTGGCAGCTCTGGCCCCTTCTTGGCTCTGTGGCTCCGAGAGAGCAGCATGATGAGATGGTGGCCCAGAGTGGGCAGGGGAAGCAGGTGACCGCTTGTTACCGGAGAGGACTCTGAGCACCACACACATCTAGCTTCCTTAGCCTCAATGACTTCCCCCTCCCAGCTTGGCAGAGTCTTTGGGCCTCTCCTGGATACAGATCCCTGGAAGGTCTTCTGCATTCAGGAGATGACCAGGAGCATGAGAAGAGATGTAGATGTCAGTCACATCGCCCTGTGAAAGCCATGGGAAAAGCCCTTGCATCTGTCAGATCCAGTTGCCTGCGAGTAAAGCTGGCACTATCTTTTTAATCATCAGAGAATGTTTCTGAAATCCAAAGAAAAGGGAAATATGCTCAATGCCTCACATGACACAGGCACTTTACACATCACTGCTGCGCTCTGGAGAAGCTGCCTGTCCCTGTGGGCTTAGCGTTAGCTAGCTGCCCTGGCGTGTTCTCAGGCACGCCTGCTGGGCTGATGACTGTGGTATCTGCCACTGACTTAAACCTATATCATTGTTTAGGTTTATTGTTCCTGAGAATGGCAAGTCAATTTGCTAGGCCCTCAGAGGCACCATGAAACCAACTCAAAACCATGGCCCCTGCTGCCGGACCCTCTGCAGGCTGCATAAGGGCCAGCTTGAATGCTCCCAGGGACTGGGCCTAGTCAGACACTTCCAACAAGGCTATACCCGGGTTCCAGGTGCCAAGCATGAGGCCTGATGCAGCGTCTGTGTGAGATCATCCTTAAATGCCATCTCACACTCTCACAGTGACCCAAGGCAGCACCGCCTGTGAGGAACGGGTAAAGGAAGTTCAATGGGAATGGAAAAAGGGACTTCATCAAAGATCCTGGAAGTACAGAGTGGGGCTTCCGCTTCCTGCGTAGATCCCTGAAGCCTGGGATATTGGAGGCTGCCTGCCCCTCCCTCCCCTCAGGCCTGCCCTGGCTCACTGTGTACTCAGTGCTGGTAAGAAGGAAGGATAAAGAAAGGGAGGGTGTACTGAGTTAAATAGTGTGCCCGCAAATTGATGTCCACCCAGAACCTCAGACTGTGACCTTATTTGAAAAGAGAACAGATGTAGCTAGTTAAAATAAGGTAAGGACATAAGGGATTAGGGTGGGCCCTAAATCCAATGGCTGCTATCCATATGAGAAGGCCACGTGAACACACAGGGAGGATGGCCTGTGGAGATGGGGACAGAGATTGGGGAGATGTGTCTACAGGCTAAGGGGTGCCAGCAACTGCCAGAAGCTGAGAGAGAAGCAAGAGACAAGTTCTCCCTAGAACCTCCAGGGGAATGAACCCAGCCAACACTTTGACTTTACACTTCTGGCCTCTAGAACTGGGAGAGAATTGATGTTTGTTGTTTGAAGCAACCTGGTTGTTGGTACTTTGTTACAGCAGCCCAGGAAACACAAAGGGGAGGGAGAGAAGAAAGAAGAAAGGGAAGGAGGCAGGGAGGGAGGGAGGGAGGGAGGGAATGTTTTTTGAGAGCCTATTATATGCCAGGTACCACATATGGTATTTTTACATACATTTTCTCATTTAATCCTCCAAATAACTCTGAAGAGTAGATCTTGTTCAACCGATGAGAAAAATGTGACTGTTTAGGTAATTTGTCTCTGGTCATTAAACTAGAATGAGGCAGAGCTAATTTATTTTTTATTTCTTTTTTTTTTTTTTTTTTTTTTGTTCTGTACCTTTTCCCCTCAGGGCCTCAGGGCCTGGGGAGTGAGTAGATTAACAAGATTTTAAAAAATCCGTGCTAATACATCCATGGATAAAACCATCCTGGGAGGACATGTACGTTGTCAGTGGGACCATCCACACATGGTCCCCCTCCTATGACCCTGTCAATGGCATTTTCATGTCCAAGCAGATGGGAAAATATGCGATGGAGAGCAGACAGGGGAAGGGCCCTCAGCATGCTGCAGAGCACCCCACGTCCATTTCCAGGTAAGCATGAGTGTGGATGGCATACGTGGATTCTCAATGTTCCTCCTGACACCCAGAGGGAATCATAGCAGACCATTCTAAAGGCATTAGCGCACCTGTAAAGCCAACATCAAAGCCAAACATGATGGTAGTGGTGCAGACGGTGGTGCTCATCATTGTTGTCTGTAAGAAGCCTAAGGTCACTCAAATGGAAAGGGTCATGCCTGAGCCCTGTACTGGGTTAAATAGTGCCCCCCAAAATTCATGTCTACCAGGAACTTGTGAATGTGACATTGTTTGGAAATTGGGTAATCAAGTTAAAATGATATCATTTAGGATGGACCCTAAATCCAATATGCCTGATGTCCTAATGAGAAGATGGAAATTTAGACACAGAGACACAAATACAGGGAGAAGACACCCACATGAAGACAGAAGCAGAGATTGGAGTTATGCTGCCACTAGCTCAGGAAAGCCTGGGGCCACCTGAAATTGGAAGAGGGAAAGAAGAATTTTTCCTGAGAGCCTTCAGAGAGAATATGGCCCTGCCAGCAACCTGATTTTGGACTTCTGGTCCCCTGAACCCCAAGAAAATGAATTTCTGTAGTTTTAAGCCCTCAGGTTATGATACAATCGATTCTCATTATTTGAGGATTTCATATTCACAAATTTGGCTACTTATTTATCTGTGGCCCTGAAATCAATACTCATACAGAGCTGTCAAGGTCATTCACAGACATAGAATTTCCACCGGCCAACATGAATGCTTCTAGCCAAGGCAGCACAAGGCTGTGCTCTACGTTCTTATTTTAGTTCGAACTATAACCAAGTGTCCTTGTTGCAGTCTATTTAGTGTCATGTTTTTCACATTTTTCTGCTTTTTTGTTGGTGATTTTGCTGTTTAGAATGACCCCAAAATGTAGGCTGAAGTGCTGTCTGGTGTCCCTAAGCACAAGAAGACTGTCACATCCTTTCAGAGAACAGGCAGTGTTAGATCAGCCTCCTTCAAGCACGAGTTACAGTACTGTTGGCCAGCAGTTCAATGTGAATGAATCAGCTATGTATATTAAATATATATTTTTTTCACAGAAGCACACATGAAACAAAGTTATGCATTGATTGCTTGGCAAAAATCTTGTGACCAGAGACTTTCAGGAAACTAACCCTGTATTTCCCCTAGGAACAACGGTTCAGTATTCACTAATTCAGCATTGCAGCAGCTTTATAGACTATAACCACGGCAATAATGAGAATCAACTGGGTTTTGTTACAGCAGCTCTAAGAAAGCAAAACAAGTTCTTTCATACTTACCCAGAATGTTGCAGGCCTCTTGGATGAGCTTAATGGTGATGATGTCATCATACACTGTGTAGGTCACGAAGGCATCTTGTACTTCTGCAGAAGTTCTGGAAGATAAATCGAGGTGCAATGAATGCTCATCAGCTGAAGCTTTGCCCCAGGAATATATCCACTGACCCAGCAAGATATACATAGCAATAACCTTCTTGATCATAAGGAATGTGAGACATTGGAGTGTTTGGGTGTCAGCTCCTCCAAGAAGCCTTCCCTGGACCTCAGTTTGAGCCTGGAGATCCCTTCTCAAGTACCCAGGATAGGCTATGCACTTCCTCAACTTATATAAAGATTGTTGGCCTTACCCACTAGCCTGGGCTCCTTGACAGTAAGCATTGTGGCTTATTTTTATCTTTGAACCCCCAGCAAGTGGCACTGTACTGAGCACATGTTCAGAACTTAATATATGGTAGTAAACTGGAACCCAGTGGTCACAGAGTCTTGTTCTCTGGATGGTAGAGCAGCTGCTTGAGTTTCTCACTGTTTTGCAGTGTAGTTGGCTATGTTGCAGGAGTTATTGATGGACTTTAGTCTTCAACAGCTAGCCAAGCCTGCTGAAAAGAGGCTTAGCCTGGGAGTCTGAGACTTGCACCCTTGGTGTGGCCCTTATGTGAGTCATCAAACTGTAACTGGCAATTGAGTTAACAAATGGGGGAAGGAGGTTGGTCAGGGAATGTGTCTCTAAGAAAGGGAGATTTTGCGGAGATTGAAGGATGGGAAGGCAAAGAAGAGCCTTCTGGACAGAGAGAATAGGCTCCTAGGCAGCAGAGAGCATGCTTGGAGAACAGAGAGGGGTCAGAGCATTCAAGCTTATCCAGAACACACCATAGAATCTTGGCATTGCAAGAAGTATGGAATATTCTACATGTTCGATTTTCTAAATGTCCAATTTCTTACTACATGCTATTTCTGACTGCTGGTTTTCCAGTTTCTTCTTGAATCCTTCCAGTGACAACAAGCTCATTCCTTTGCAAGACAGTACATTCCACTTACCAACTTCTCTCTTTGATGGAAACGTCTTTCTTATGTTCAACTGAAACCCCCTTCTGGGCCCTCATAATAACTTCTATTTGTTGAGCTTTTGGCCCAAAAGATGACCAATTATTACTTATCATTCCTTGTACTATTGAGAAGGCTGATGCTCAGAGGGATTAAATGTCTTGCTATGGTCACCAGTTGACCAGAGAAGGATCTGGGCTCTGGACTTCAAAGCCCACATCACTCCTGTACTGTGCTGCTGGGAATTTACTCACTGGCCTTAGTTCTACCCTTTAGGAAAATGCAGACTGGGCTGGTCCCTCCTCTGGATACCTAACCTTCTAATGTTTCAGGATCCTTATTCACCACTAAATTTAATTATCTCTTTATCATCTTTCTGGACTTCATCTTCCGCTCTGTAAAATGTGGCAATTATTATTACCTGCCGTTCCTATCTGCCAGGAGTGTTGGTAAGGATAAAACAGGACTACAAATGTGAAAGAGCTTGGGGAAAATGAGAACTACCGTGCAAATCCAAGGGGAGCTGTGATGACAATGAGAACAAAGGGGCTGCGTGGTGAGTGGGAGGTGACCAGGGCTGGGGTTTAGGAGACGTTGGTTCCAAGCTTATGCCTTACACAAATAAGCTCTGAGGGAAAATCACTTCCCCCTCTGGGCCTTGATTTCTTTATCTGTAAAATAAGGGAGATACAGCACAAGATTCGTGTTTCTCAACCTTTTTTAACCTCTCTGCAACACACACATCCACTAGGGATTCTCAGACATCCCCAGAAACACTTGTGCACGCAGTTGAGGATCCTGGACTAGAAGCTGCTTGAATTCTCCTTTGCCTATAAGAGTTCCAGTTTTGGTCTATGCCTGTACAGTGCTTTCTAAGCATCTTCGGAGGCAGCTGTTCAGAGAAACCGGCTGTAGGCCTGCTCGGGTGAGCAGCGCTGTACACCACCACTGCTGCCTAAGTGGGGTACTCTCCACCATGTTGGAGTTGCCTCTTACTTGCCCCCAAGGGCCCACAAGTCTCTGTGAAAGCATGTGCCCTCCTTCTGTGCCTATAAGCAAAACAGAAACACGTGGACAAGACCCCGATTTAAACTTGACACATTATCATAATGTGTTCTGAAGACCTTAGAAAGGGTTAAGTGACCTCCAGGACTGTCAGAAATGTAACAAACTCCGTGGTGCTCCCCGGCCCTCTGATAGGACCACCCATTAACCCATCTCTGGATCTGGCAGCCTGTTCTTTCCTGTAGTCTGAACTGATCATATTTTTGTGTCAAATATTTATTTGGGTTTGTATATATGTTGCACGTTGCTGAGATGCCAGACGTGCCCAGACTGTTATGATTATACAGGGATTTTCAGCCTTGTTTATTGATCTCCACAATCCTGCATATAACATTTCCCACAGAGCCAGTGCACACTTGCATATGTAGTCATTCAAGCTGCTTTAATAAAACAGTATGTTCACCAAGAATTTTTTAAAAATAAATAAACCAATTGATATCTTCCAATGAGATGACAAAGCCTCTCGTGTGCAGAGAGGAAAGAGAGAAAAATGACTATTGGAAAGTGTTTTGAAGAGATTGAGAGTTGAAGATGCAACAAATGTAGGAAATGAAGGAAGAGTTAGATGTTTCCAGCTCACACAAAGAGGAGTACCTGTCATGGAACATGAAAAATGTCAGCCACATAGGTGCTTGTATGCATCCATGTGCAGGCTGAGGAATCAGTGTTTAATTGGCACCAGCAGGCATTCAATACATGTTCCTCTTTAGTTAGTTCCAGCTAGGGATACCCAAAATATCTGAGCAGAAAATCAGGGCCAGGCTGCCTAGAGCAGAGCAACTCACAAAGCAAAATAAATACACAGATTCCTGAGCCCCAGGAGGTGGTGTCTGAAAATCCATAATTTTTTAACCACTTGCCTCAGATGACTGTCCAGGTTTGATAACCACTGCACAGAAACACTTTCTAGGATTCAGTCTGGCAAGGCAACAGGTTACAAATGATACATTTTACGTGGTTCAACCTTACTAAACTGATGTAATGGTTTTTCAGAGTCCAGGGTGAGCTATAAAGCCCATAGGAAAAATGAACAGCACTTTGTAGCAAGTTTCAGGCCAAGAGAATGGGATCAATTTAAGCCATAGGAACTCATTTTTCAGCAGCTCTCTTAATGGTAGGTGGGGAATTCATATAACAAACTTGCCTGTCACTGTGTGACTCAAGGTGTGCTTGGGGAAAGACAGGCCCAGAAAGGCAAAAGATTTGTCCTGGTGTCACTACCATCTGGTATTTAGAAAAAGCACCAGACTGTCTTTCTAGCCTGTCCTCCAGCTGGCCTGTCTGGCTCCCCACAGCTTTCTTAATAAAATCCAGACTTCTTAGGTGGACATACCCAGCCTCCGTGACCCAGCCCCTGCACCCACGCCTCACCTCCAGCCATTTCTCCCATCCATCCATTCCTCCAGCTTCTCAAGCTCCTCTCTTCCCTGACTTCCCACAGGCTCTGCCTCACCGGAAAAGCTCTCACTTCCCCTGATCTGGCTAACTTGATTCTTCCTTCCGAACTCAGTGTCAGAATCCCAATTCTGGACATTCTCAGCCACTTGCAGATCCGGGCATCCCTGCTCTGAGCCCCCGTGGCTCTCTGTATCACCTGTCTTTGGGCTAACTGTGTGTGGAATTGATTCGCCCATCTGCATGCTTCCTAGACTACCAAGTGGAAGGATCGCGACAATGTCATTTGATTTAACATCTTCAGTACCTAGCCCTGTACCTGGCACACAACAGGTACTCAATAAATAATTGTAAGATAATTTAGGTGAGAGACCTAACTTGGCAGAGGCTCACAGACTCTGTGTGTCAGGAGGAGACCTAGAAGTTAACCCTGGCTCTACCACCATCTAGCTGGATGACTTGGAGCCAATCTCACTGTGCCTCCATTTCTTCATTTTTACGATGACAGTATTCAATTAGGTCATTGTTGTCATGAAGACTGTCATGTCTGGTCCTCCCCTTCTCTCCCTCAGCCACCAATGATGTCTCCTTCCTTGACCTCTGATTCACTTAGAAAGACGCTTAAGACATTTAAGCCGGCAGTTCTCAAAGTATGACCCATGGAACCCTAAGGTGCAAATACCTAAGGTGTTTTTAGGAATCCACGAGGCCAAACTATTTTCAAAACCAAATTAAGACATTATTTGCCTTTTGTACCGATTGGTATTTGCGCTAACGGCCCATAAGCATTGGTGAGTAAAATTTGGTGCCTTATAGCATCAATCAAGACAGTGGCACAAAACTATTACATTATTTATTATATTCTTTTTTTAAATCTTCAGTATATTATTTATAGTCATCATATTCTTCACTGTCACATATGTGTAGTAAAAAAAAAAAATGCCAGTTTCACTTTAGGTTGTTCATTTTGAGGTAGTAAAAATTACCAATGTCATGAAATCTTTACCCTGAGTATACATCTTTTGAATATTTTGTGTAACAGAATGGGAAGTACACACTCAAATAAAGTACTTCTCCTATATGCACGAGTGTGAATGGCCACTTCCAGGAAAAGGACTTGCACGATTGAGTTATGAGCTGAATTAGCCACTTTTTTTAATGGAACATCATTTCCACTTAAAAAACCACTGACAGACGAACCATAGTTACTCAGACTTGGATATTTGGCAGACATTTTCTTAAGAAAAGAACAAAGTTAGCCTGTCACTTCAAGGAAAATAACTGGCAGAATGTGTTGCCAGTGACAAAACTCATGCTCTGAAACAAAAATAAGAATTTTGGGGAAAAAAATTGTATCTTATACTGTAAGCTTATTAGCATCCCAATCCTTAGAGGCTAAGATTGGGATGATATTGACAAATGCAATTTTGATATTGTATAGTGAAACGTGTCAACATTTGTAAGATTAGCACAAGTCAGTGAGCTAATAGTTTCCAAATAACTCATGCAAGCTAGTACAAAATGATGCTTAAAATTTATATCCAAATGTAACACAGATCAAGAGATTTTAATATAACAGAGTATGAAGAAGGTC